TGTGTGTGTGTGTGTGGTAGAAGTATCGGTTTTTGTACTCTGTATCGGCAAGTACTCAGATCCAAGTATCGGTATCGTATCGGTTTGAAAAAATTGGTATCGTTGCATCCCTAGCTGTAACATTTTAACATAGACAAAAAAAGTGTGCAAAATGAAAGAAAACACCCCACCAGCTCATCACCTGGACTTATTCCCTGTCAATTAAAAAAACATTTTTTGTGGTAATTCTATTGTACAGTAGTGAAAAAACAGGAGTTTATTATCTTGGGCTGACCTTGGTGTACTATAGCAGGTAATTGGTGATATCTTAGGTCAGCAAGAAGGCTGTAAGTCCAATGATCCTTGGCATTTTCTTGTTTTCCAGGGCCATGCAGTAGGCTGGATCGGATCTTTCAACTGGCTGGCTTTGGCCCCTAGACTTTGTTTAATATTAACGTAGTACTGAATACACAAAACTGCCTTTTTGTGGAAACTTTACACTTAAGTTTACACTTAAAAACGTACGTTTTTCCAAAGAAAATGAGGAAATTTCCACTCACAGCACAGACGGATCACGACACAGGAATAAAAATTCTTAACAGAGATGTAAATACTATTTAAAAGATGATGATAAATAAGAGAAGGAAGGCAGAAGTGACTGAAGTTTATTTTATTTCCACAGTAGCATGTTTGGTTTGATTCTAATCTAGGGGTGGATAAAAACTGGATGAAGTTCACATTTTGTGCATCAGATGTGAAAGAAAACAGATTTCTACAGTATTTTCTTGCCTTGTTTCTCAGGATGTAGATCATCTAGAAGCCACTGACTATGGGCTCGAACAGATGGGGGATTTGCGCCTGATACCTCATGTGTGAGTCACATGACACGCTCTTTAGCCCTGCTGCCTCTGACCCTCTCGGTGACCCTAATCTGTACTACCTGAGTGCACGCAGAATCCATTTAAGGCTGCACCATCAGACAACATCTACTTTATTGATGACTATTGTAGAATTTTGATTACATGGAGTATATAGTCACAGAATTATCAGAGTATCAGGTTAGTGGTTCATAAAAAAGGTTTTAAGTCGTATATAGACAGTTTATAGCATATTTTTGTTAAGATGCAATATTGTTCACTATACACGAGCAGATTCTTCAGTAAGATGGGCAAACACAAGATGACAGTCATCTTAGAGGAAGCCGAGCAGCTGCAGGGCAACAGATATGGAGAGAATGATGACTCCGAAATAGCCAATGTAGCCGTAAGCACCGTTCATCCTCTTGGCGGGATCTGCAATAAAAAGGAGAAAGCAAACATTGATCGAATCAGGATTATATGAAGAAAACGAGGCTAAACTTTTCTGTCTTCTCTGAAGTTCTGAACACATGATCATTAAAATGTTTTGCTTCCATTAATAATGCAGATCTTTGACTTCTTAGCTTAGTAACTTTTCACTCATATGTTATCAAATGTAAATGATTAAACAACGTAGATACTGAGCAATAAAACTGCTCAGACTATCACAGGGCTGTAACTTGTGCAGCAGCTGGACTTCAGCTCTGAACATCTGTCCAACTGCCATATCATGCATATTATGACATGGCATAATATGCATGATATGGCGAGTTAAATCTTACAAGTGTGATTAATGGGGTTGTTTGTCCAAGCTTAGCCGTGTCTACAACACCAATGTAGACATTACGGGTTGTGGTATTGATTAGGGGTTAATACTAACATAACTCTATATTTATTAATAAAATATTAACGTGAGTGTATAAATTTTACGTATCATAACTCCATTCACTTAATTTCAGTCTTACCTCCTGTGTAGTAGCCCCAGGCATAGGAAAACCTGCTGGTCACCCAAATAACCCCCAAGACACATGCTGACAGCTGGTTAGAAGTGCACACAAATAAGAGTTAGAAAGAATGGAGGAAGTCAGGAGAGTTTCCAGATGAGGGCACAACCGCCCCTCACCAAAGCCGCTGATATAAAGTACACACAGAATCATTACATTACTCATGAATTCAACTTAAATATAGATTTAAAGTACTTTTATTTTATTTAAATATTCCTGCTGTGCTACTTTCAGCACATTATAAAACAATATCCTGAAAATATAATGAATTATTAAAGATATGACCATCCAGCAGAATATAAAGTACAATTACTTCTACCTGGAATATTAAACACAAGTACACATTAACGAATCGATAATTATCCAGTTTGGGTCCTACACACCACAGATTCACACACTACATTCATATCATTTTATTTTTCATATCCCATCCGTTCTCTTCTGTTTATCCTTATCAGGGTCACAGGGTGAGAGACAGGGTACACCATATGCACTCACATTCACATGGGCAATTTAGAATCACCTATTTACCGTACCCCACTAAGTACATGTCTTTGGACTGTGGGAGGAAGTCGGAGGCCCCGGGGAAACACGGGGAGAACACACAAACTCCACACAAAAAGACCTTCTTGCTATAAGGCAACAGTGCTAACCACCATGCCACTGTGCTGCCCTTTTTTATATTATTAATTAAAAATGCCTTCGTTGGGTTTGTTAAGGCATTAAAAACTACCGGGTCAAGGTCAGAAAAAGATTGCAACTTTGGTTAAAATAACAATCGCTACATGTGCTGAAGCCCTTTCATGAGGTATTTCAACATTTCACCGCTTTGTCTGGAAAACCATCATATAAATATATGGTGATTTGTGTCCATGAACATAGATAAAGATCACGTCTATTTATTTATTTGAGATCTGTTCAAACACTCCCCCTACTGTCATAAGTGTCTAAATGCCTTCTTGTCTCTCTTTCTTTGTGATGCACTCTCACGGGTATCAGGAGCTCTAACAGGTTCAGTGAGGTCTTTGAGTAACCGCTGGTCTTTGGCCTGGATCATTACTAATAAACAGTTATCAAATAAAGTAACAAACCAACAATATGCACAGATTTTTTTCCTAAAAAGAAAAAAAAGGACAGAGAGTGCTCCACCAGAGTCTCCACTCCACAGATGAGTCTGATATGTGCACTCAATTTTTTATATTTAGTAATCTGCAACAATAATCTGTTTTTCAAAAGCACCGAGCCTGCAAATACATTTCTTCTGACAGCTTTAATTGTGCTCACTTCAGCAGCTACAAACATCTCACTTCCTCACTGACATCTCATTATTGACCACTTAAACTTTCTGTAAACTTGCTTTCCTCTAAGGATCTTTCCGCTCTCTGCACATACATCAAACCTGCCTAACAGGATATTTGCATGTTATCTATATATCGTAAACCGTTCTTATGTGATCTGTAGTGAGATATCCCAGATTTTTAACCTAATTAACATTATTAGATTTATATTTTATAAA